ATTGATATGATACCAACTCTTATCTATCAGATATGATGTAACTCTGATCTATAAAATGTTGTAACAGCACTTTTAAGGGGTATCATATAATATCAACACAAATATACTCTTATAATTTCCATATCTATGATAAGACATAATGCCAATCCTTTATGTATTTGCATTGAAATTGGGCGCTCGTTAGATGTACATCTACTACATATACAATATGTTTCTCGTATCTTTGGCAAAACACCCACCGAATTCGATTAGTTGCATATTTTCATAATCACTTTTTGTCAACTTATAAACAGATATTTAATATTGAAAGTGGTTTGCTAAAGTTACTTTAAATCTATTTCACACTCTATGATCAGCAATAAACAAATGTATTTGAAAAGCAAAAATAGTCGTAGTTTAAACAAATGAAATCCAATTATGCAAAGAAAATATCAAACCAGCAAATATTACTTAACGTCTTTAACTTTACTTAATAAAACTCTTTCAAATCAAATTCCAGTTCTTTTCAATTTTATAAAGAAATCAGCCTTTAGGTACTAAAACTAACCCAAACAAGAAAAAATCAATCAATTAACTTAATATCAGTTTCATATATATTAAATATATATATGAAATAATATCGTTATCGATTTCGATTAATCTAAATAATATAATAATAATGAATAAAGAACTACAAGCGCACTCTCTACCTACGGTAAGTTTCCATTTTCTAAGCTCTAACCAAATAAATCTAAGTTGATTTAAATATCTTAAATTAAAATTAAAATGCATAAAAAACTTAAGTTACGTATTGTTTTATGTATGTGTTCTATTTTATCTAAACGAATCTAAAAACAAAACGAAAAGCTAAATTTAAAATTCTTATAAAAATTAATGGACGAAAAAAAAAAACAGGAATTGGCCAAAAACAATTGAAAATGTTTTCTCTCTATATATACAATAATATTTCTAAAATGTTTTTTGAAACACTTACGCTCTTACTCACTCACTTTCAATATTCTATTACGTCTCTCTCTCTCTCTCTCTCACACACTCTTGCGCTCTTTCTCTTTCTCTTATGCTGTTACTGTCTTACTCTGTGTCTTTGAAAAGGGTTCATTTATATATATTTTTGCCGTTATTTGAGCTCTCTCTATATATATAGTAACTATATATGTTTTTGTATGCAGCAGGCAGGAGGGGTGTTGAAAATATATTTTCGTATATGCCACAAATTTCCGATTTGATGCGAATCTCGCTTAAATATATATTATCCACATTATCTACATACACTTATTTTTTTTTGCAAATTTCTTTATTCTGGCCCCTTAATTGTTTAACCCTCTCTCTGTATATTCACATTAGCATTTCCCTGAAATGAAAAAAAATAAATACAACATAAAATTGCCCTCAACACCCGTACAATATATATATATTTTTGAAACTAATATGGTTTCGGCTTAAACAGAAATAAAATCAATTATAATCCAAGAGAAATTTAATATAATATTAACAGTCGAAACAAAACATCCAACACACTCATCAGCCACTTAAACCATATAACAAACAAATTATATATACATATATTATAAAACAACAACAACAACAACAACAAAATTGATATATCCCAAACAAAAACACAGCTCTCATTGCATATGCATATGTATGTATACATATATAACTCTTATATATGTATATACATATATATATATTTCTTATAAACGTTATTTGGTTTGGGTTTCTTCAAAAAGTCGTTCGTTTATTGTAAATAAATAATTTAAGCAAATATCTCAATGTGAAATTTATTAATTTCTTCTTAAATATATTTAATTTTTGAATTGGTTTATCATCCACTTCTATTTCTATTCCCAATCAAAATATTTCATTTTGTTTTTGTTTTGGGTGTAACAAAATTTTTGCGTGTAAATCATATTTGAGATTCGATTCGAAATTGAAATTGAAATTGCGAAATAAAAACTTTATTTAACTCGTTGAAGTACACCCCCTACCAACCCACCACATACACCTATCATGGTTTATCCCCCCCAACCCCCCTCAAATACATATATATATACATATATCTTACTAAAAATCCAGACAAGACGTCGATCGCACGTCTTAACACATTATATATAGTTAATAAATTACTGCAAACTCTTCATTGGCTATAAAAAAAAAAATATATACCAAAATATAAATAAAAAGCAAGGGCAACTAGTTAAAAATAAAAAACAAAAACCAAACAATACAGCTTAAGAATAATTATAAAAATAATAATTTTTCTGTTTCTGTGAATCACCAACAACAACATTGTTTTTCTCTTCTTTTTTCTTTACGCGTTTGAACGAAAAAACCAAACCAAAAACAAAAAACAAACAAAAACAAAATATATAAAACCAAACTAAATATTTGAAAAAATCCAAAAAAATCTAAATTGAAAATTAAAATTAAAATCAATATCAAATGAAAATGAAAATAAATGAAAATCCGAGCAGGCTCGAAGGCCTGGCACATGCGGCTCACCTTCGAGCGCCTCTCCGGCGGCTGCAACCTGCATCGCTGCAAGCTGTGCGGCAAGGTCGTGACGCACATACGCAACCACTACCACGTCCACTTCCCCGGCAGATTCGAGTGCCCGCTGTGCCGCGCCACCTACACGCGCAGCGACAATCTGCGGACCCATTGCAAGTTCAAGCATCCGATGTACAATCCGGACACGCGCAAGTTCGACAACCTGATGTCCGCCTCGGCGACGGCGGTGGGCGGTGGTGCGGCGACGCCTACGGCCACACAGCTGGCGGCCGCATCGCAGGCGGCAATGGCAGCGGCGGCAGCAGCAGCATTTTCCGCGGCGCAGCAACAACAGCAACATCAGCAGCAGCAGCAACAACAGCAGCAGCAGCAGCAGCAACAGCAGCAGCAACAACATCGCGAACAACAGTCACAACAGCAACAGTTGCAGCAACATGCACAGGCCTTGGCGCAACAACACATGCTGCACCAACAGCTGCAGCCGCAGCATCATCAGCAGCAGCAACACAATGCAACAAGCGAATGATACAGCCAGTATCTGGCCTGGAACTATGCTGCATGGAGTCCCGACGAGTCGATCATGAAACAGCCGCCGCATTTTGCCAGCAACTATCAGCAGCAGCAACAGCAACAGCAGCTGCAACATCTACAGCAGCAACAGCAACATCTACTACGCCGGGCACAGCCCCTAAATTTCTATGCACGCAACTACTATCAACAACACTTTGAGGCCAAGCAACACAGCAGCAACATGCATTTGCAACAGCAACATCGCCAGCAGCAACAGCAGCAGCAGCAACAGCAGCCGACGCAAACGATTGTCATTGATGAGAGCGACGACAATGAGCTGGAGGAGGAGACGGGCGGCATGGCCAGCTGTATGCGACGCAGCTTCAATCATTACATGGAGCAGCTGAAACAGTTGGCGCCGTGTGCGGCTGCAGCAGCAGCAGCAGCAGCGGCTGTTGCTGATGATGTTGCTGCTGTCAACAGGTGCAATAGCGACAGCAACAATTCAACCAATGCCAATCAAATGGAAGCTAATACAATTACAACAGCCACAACTACTAATAGTAATGCTAATGCTAATGCTAATGCTAATGCTAATCATAATAATTGTAATCCTAGAAACTTCAACAGGCAGCTGCCACCATAAGCAACAGCAGCAGCAACAACTGCAGCAGCAACATCGATACTCAGATCTAAGCATATGCATATATAAAGTATATCTATACATCTATATGTAATTAACTGAATGAATTCTTAAATGTTGACCATGCATTGCAAAATATTATGGTAAGCCAAATTTATTTGTCAATTATATAGAGAGAAAGAAAAACGGGGAAGATGCAAAAAGTGGATAAAGTGCGGACTCAAACGCTGATCTGTGCACGATTCATGGTTTCAACAGGATTCAAATGTTTGCAAATTCAATAGTAACAATACAAATATATAGAAGATGAACTTCAAAATAGCTATAAAGAACTTAGAGGGTTTCCAAGGCAGCCAAACAGAGAACTTTTAAAGAGATTGTGCATTATAAATACATATAAAAATATTTAAATACATATATACATATATAAAAATCTTCAAGTAAATATTTGATCAGCACTTTAAAACTTGAACTAACTGTTAGTATATATGGCTTTTCTTTTTCTGGTAGAGCTGACAACCCTGTTTCTCTGTCAACCCTAGAGCAAATCATGTGCCAAACTGTTTGCACCCAATTGTTGTTGCATTTAACACTAATGTGCGCACGCTTGCAGCAAAACAGATCTATATCTATATCTATATATATATATATATAGTCGACTATATGCACTTTGAACTCACTTTAAACATAATCAACAGAGATTTTCTTACAAAATAAAAGGCACAAAGACATTGTTAAGCTCGAGATTTTCTGTGTGTGCAGCTAATTCACATCTAAATGTAGTAAACATGTTAAATATTAACATATATATAAAACAAAAACTGTAAAATATTATAAAAAAAAAAACATCTCTACATATATATACATTTAGTACATAATCGAAATAGTAGCAGAAAAAGAAAAGAAATTATTTATTACATGTGCGTTTTAATGTTAAATCTGGAAGACATATGCATACGATGCCCTATTAGCATACAATTATTAATTAACAAACTGCAAAATGTTAATTTATTTATATATACATAGAATATAATACGTGTGTGTGCGAGAGTGAATGCAGAACAAAAGTAAACAAACAAAAAATAACAAAAAATAAAAAAAATAAAGGGAAAAAATCGCGCAAAAATTGAAAGCCCTCGCCCCAGTCAGCCTTAGCCCTAGCCACCCAGAAGCCCCCCACATTGTATTATATCAGCAATAACCCTAGGTATATACATATATAAATAAAGCCGATAACTGATAGATGCATGTGAGTGCCGGGCGCGTTCGGTTAACCAGTCTCTATATAATTTAGTTTATATCTAATATTAAATATTAAAAAATAATTTTTGCAGCATTTCTTTAATAAGCCACTGTACATACAGCCCCCCTCTATATATAAATATATATATCAATAGATGTATATATATTTATAGTTTTTACATATCTTTTTCACTAAGTAGTTTTGTGCAATTTTTTGAAATTTGTTAGAAATTTCTTTGCCTAAAAGGAAAGAGCTAAAGCTGAGGTGTTAAAACATTAAACATTTATTAATAAACAATTATTTATTTGTTCTAATTTGTAACACACTCAAATTGTTTAGTTATTAATGCTACATCAAATACTGCCCCGACTTAATAATTGTTTTTTTTTTTTAAATATATTTTAATTTTTTTTGTAATTTTGAACTTTTTGCTTTTGTTACAACATGAAATTTATCTATATATATATTATATATACGATGTGATAACTATAGTTAAACTTAAACACACACACACCACACACACCAACACACCACACACACACACACCAATACACACACATATTACAAAATGAAATTATATTAATTATAAATGGAAGAAGAGCTGGAAGAGATGTCTATATGATATATATACGTATATATGTATATGTATGTATGTATATATATCAAATTTGTGGTATGCAAAATGGTGCTAAATCCAAATATATACTTTAATTGAGAAAGCCAACCCGCAGCTGGCCCCCAGCTGACCCCCTAGCTGCGCCCCCGCCCCCCTCCTGAATCGTAGACAGCTTTTCAAATTATGTATGTGCAATATGACTAGTTTTTTTTCGATGTTCTCTTTTAAGTGCAAAGTGGCATGTGGAATATATAATAATAATTATTTAAAACTAAAAAATAAATACAATTAATTAAAACTTAAAAAACAAAAACAAAACTTAGCGTGGGAGCGAAATAAATATAGTAAAAAAAAAAAAAAATAATAATAATAATAAAGAAAAACATTTGAAGCGAATGTTAACATATCAAATATGAATATGAATATATTCAGTGTATGTATGTTGTATTTGTAACTGAACAATTGGTACTATATGCATATAGAAATATGTATAGGGATAATACAGTTAGCAACATTTCTGTGTCTATTTCAATAAATATTTCAAATGTCATAATCTTACAATTAAAATAGTAGCAAATTAAGATCTGCCCCCAAACGCCCATTCGCCCCGCCCACTTCATATTTATTAACAACAACAAAAACCACAAGACACCCAACAACAAATTTATTATGTTTATTATGTTAATGTTTTCTTAATTAAATTTAACAGCCGATAAAAAAAAAACAATAAAATAAAAAAAAAAAGTTTTAAACTTTTTTTTTTACTTTTTAACTAGTTTCAATGTAATCTTAGCTCTTAAGCATTAACTTTAACTTGTATTAATAAAACGCAATACAAATAATTTTAGTTTTATTTATAAAAACAAAAGCAAAATGAAAAAAAAAATTTAAGCAAATTTGCAGCATTTGTTAAAATCTTTTGATTAAATATATATTTTTACAAATATTTTTAATAAACATTCTATCCATAAAGCCAGCGTTCTATTTCAATTGAGTGCAAACTACAAAACATAACAAAATATATATATAATAATAATAATAATAAAACAAAAATAATAAACATCATATGAATAACCCGCAACATCAAACGACAAATTGCATAAAAATTGAAATTTTTTTAATTTAAAAAATATATACAAAAATAAAAAATTAAATAAAAGAAAATGGTGATTCATTTATTCTTTCTTTCCTTTCTGAGTTGTTCGCTTTGAATTGTGCTTCCAAAAGAGTTTTTTAAGGGCTGCCCAATAGGAATTTATCATGCATATATATATAGATATGTGATATACATAAACACAACCCACACACACACACACAAACACACAAGCTCAGTAAAACATGTGTCAAATTTTTATATACTTATTACCTCGGCCCAATTTCCTGTTTTTTTTTTTTTACCTTTAACTTTTATAATTATTTTTTTATCAAACAATATATGCATATAAGAATATGTGTATATTTATATGTGCTCTAATTTATTTTATGCAAATTTTTAGGTAATTTTTTGTTGTTTTCGCTTAGTTAATAAATGAAAATCGAAATGAGAGCAAAATGATGCGACGCACAAATGAGTTACACCCAATAAAATAGTGAACCAATGTTTATATAATATTATATATAATGAACTTTTATGTTAATTACACACACACACACATACATACATACATACATATAAACATACCTATGCAGCTATATATATATATATGTATATATATTTATACATATATATATATATATTATACTATGTATCTTGTACTTGTCATTCAAATCGATTGTGTTATCCATTTGTGCTCAAAACCTTATAATAACTACAATTTATATAAATATATATACACTATATATATGTATATATCTGATTTGTGACTAATTTCATTTTTAAAAAAATTATATAAATATATATATACATATATTTTATATATATATATATTTAGCCATCTATCAAAGTATTTCAGCAAAACAAAATCTCAACGGAGGCATTTTTTCAATTCTTTCAAACATATATGTAACAGATTCTAGCTATATATACATATATATACACTTATAGATTTAGTTTTAGCTTTAATATAAAAAAAAACTTGAGCTGAAATTTTTATATTTAAAAAAAAAAAATCAATACAATTTGCACGCTTGAATGTGAAGGGCATCGAACTACTTAATATTACGAGCTAAAAGAACATATTTTTTCTTTGATATTTGTATTTTTAATTTTTTATATTATTTTTCTTCTTCTTTTAAATTTTTTTTTTATTTTTCCTTTTGTTTTTTCGAACTATTTTTTGTATTTGATGCGCGTTATGTTAATTAAGTTGCTTGAACGTAGTTAGCCAACAGCTATATATGCATA